TCTCACCATGACGATAATGGATTAAACCTCTGAAACTGTAAGCCAGCCCCAATTAAATGCATTCCCCTATAAGAGTTGCCCTGGTTCTGGTGTCTCTTCACAGCCATAGTACATTAACTAAAACACTCAGTTTTAGGGAAATATGAGGAGATGCAAACAGTTAAGAGATTCCCATTGCTGGGGATGACCCTGTCCTTTCTCTAGTGAGATGGGCCCACAGGAAAATGCTAAAGCTGGGAGGTTCAGGCATCTCCAAGAACACCTGCACAGATCCAGGAACTTCTTGAGCATACACAAGTAAATCTTTTAGCTGAACAATTTCACCTTCATAAAATTGATTATTTTTACTGGAAATAAGTTTTTCCATACAATATATTCTGATCACGGTTTCCCCTCCCTCTTCTCCTCCCAGATCCTCCCTACCTCCCTGTCTGTCCAACTTCACACCTTCTTTCTTTCTCTCTTCAGAAAACAAACTGGCAATAAATAAATAAATAAAACAAAGAAAAACATACACACACAATCAAAAACTATAATACACAAGCAAAAGACAAATAAGGTGTTTTTTTTTTTAAATGCCCAAATAAAGTATTATGAGACAAAAAAAAAAAAATCTCCAAAAATACCATTGAGTTCATTTTGTGCTGGTCATCCACTGCTGGGCATGGGGCCTGCTCCTAAGTGTGGTCTGTACACACAGTGAGACTCCACTGGATAAAACTACTTTTCCCTGTGGGCAGCTGTGAGGTGGGGATAACTTCCGGGTAAGGGATGGGGCTTGTGTCCACTTCCCTGCTCAGTGCTGGAGCCCATTTGGCTTGCACCGATGATGCACACCGCCACAGGCTTGTGAGTTCACACGTGTGCCAGTCCTGCTGTGTCTGGAAGACACTGTTTCCTCAGTGGCATCCATCACTCCGGCTCTTACACTCTGATTGTCTCCTCTTCTGCACAGCTCCCTGAGCCCTGAGGGGAGGCATTTGATGGAGACATCCCATTTAGGTCTGAGTGTCCAAGGTCTCTCACACTCTGTACACCATCCAGATTTGGGTCTCTGTGTTAGTTTCCATCTCCTGCAGGAGGAAGCTTCACCAATGACACTTATCTGAGCCCAGCCCAGGGTGGCCCATAAGGCATTTCTTTCTTTCTTTCTTTCTTTCTTTCTTTCTTTCTTTCTTTCTTTCTTTCTTTCTTTCTTTCTTTCTTTCTTTCTTTCTTTCTTTCTTTCTTTCTTTTTCTTTCTCTTTCTCTCTTTCTCTCTTTTTCTCTTCCCTCCTTCTTCCTCCTTCTTCCTCCTCCTCCCTCTTCCTCCCTCCTCCTCCTCTTTCTTCTTCTAAATATTGTAGGAATTCTGGGCAGTGATGAATCTCAAAGGACCACAAAAGGAAAACTCCCTTGATGTTGTTAAGTTATGGGTTGCTGTAAATGATGGTTTCATTCATAAAAGGTCATGAAGTATACCTTCACACACGGAAAAATCGAGTATCATCAGAAGGATCCACATGAAGTGCCTTATAGATCAAGTTCATCCGCCAGACTGGGAAGGCGCATGCAAGATGTCATCACGGTTTCTTCCCGTGCGGTCCTGCTACATCCACACATGATTTTAAAAGACAGGGATGGTGGGTGCTGCTGTCATTTTAAGATCTGTTGTCTCTAACCTCTCCCAACTCCCACACGCACTCATTCAAAATCTTGACTTCCCCAGGGACCCCAGCTTCTCTGACCTTCACAATCCTGCCTCATGCACAGGGCAAACTGCCTTAGCAAGTCCTTCTTGGGGACCACATCCTGTCTTGGCTCTTCTGGGCACTGAGACTCACTTGGCTGTTAGCAACCTTGGATTAAGTCGTCTACTACGTATGATCAAATTTGAAGGCGGAGGGACTGTAGGGCTTGGGGTTGGGTAACTATCCAAGAGCTCAGGGCCTGATGTCCATGGCTACAGTGGTGGCTTCAGACATGCAAAGAGAGAGACAGCTGGACGCAACAACAACAAGCTATGACGCAACTATATTAGCAATTCTTAGAATACTTTCAAACTCGGGTCTTAACAAAAGCACAAGTATCTGTTTTAAAAGATCAGGAAATGTCAGCTGTGGCTCCTTCATTTCCTATTCTGAGGCTCAGTGGATGCCAGTCCACATTCCATTACAGAGGAACATCCTCCCGTGTGAAAGGATACTTACTGCTGCAAGGCAGATCCCCAAACAGAAGGAAAATCAAAACTCCAATTTGACACAAGAGCCTCAAAAACAACCCAAAGTATAGCAGTGTGTACTGCCAACCCTTGACTGCTATTCTGATCACGCTTGATGATAAAATTATAAACACAAGAGATATTTTTGTTGTTGTTTCCTGTGAAATACTACCCAGGGAACAGTATGACCTTACTAAGACACAGGCCTGGCACTGGAGCCTGAATAATCTTAGTTTCCTTGCCTTCTGTGAGAAAGGCAAGGAAAGGGCCACTGAGTCTAAGGTTGCCTAGAAGCCAGGGTGCAGATCTCCACAAGCAAACCCATGGAGTCATCAGGATAAGCGAGAAACAAAGGAGAGAAGAAGAGAATGTTAAAGAGAATGGGCCACACGGATAATGGAGGCTGCTGAGGCAGGGACTGAGGAGTGATGCCAGAAACAAACAAACAAACAAACAACACAGAGCTGGAAATAAGAGGGGAGAGCTACCTTCTAGCTCCTGGGATGGGCAATTCCAGGTGACATACAACCCTTGGAAAAGGAGGTCATTTACTCTCTTTCCATCCCAAAAAGACACGTGACCTTCTTTTTTTTTTTTTTTTTTTTTTTTTTTTGGTTTTTCGAGACAGGGTTTCTCTGTGTAGCTTTGCGCCTTTCCTGGGACTCACTTGGTAGTCCAGGCTGGCCTCGAACTCACAGAGATCCGCCTGGCTCTGCCTCCCGAGTGCTGGGATTAAAGGCGTGCGCCACCACCGCCCGGCTCACATGTGACCTTCTTAGCGGGAGCCTTGGAGCAGCAATTGGAAGCCTCCTCCTCTGGGAGGTCAGCTAGATATGTGTGGCCCAGTGAAAGTGGGGTAGGGATCGTTTTCTCCTAGAGAGCTCCAGGTAGGAGACACCTCTGGAGGGAAAGAAGTGATTCCTTGAAAGTTACAGGCAGCACAGGCCTGTGCAACTCAGAACGTTACAGAACATTCTAGAAAACCGCATGGCTGGCAGGTGGTGTGTCTGTTCCCAGACGGTGGGGGAAAAGCGTTTCCACAAACACGAGTCTTCTGTATAGATTTATTTCCTCCTCTCCCTCTCAGAGCCCAAGCAATGGAACTGTAATCATTTTGAAGGAAGAATCCCCCTCACAACACTTTTGAGCGGGGGCCCCATGAAATTAGCATTTTTGTAGGCCAAGAAGGAAATGTCAGATCCTACCAAGGCACGTGGATCAATAGTGGTACATGCCTATAAGCTTCCCCTTACGGAAGGGGTAGGGAACCCCCACCCCCCACTAAGATCATAGTTTATTTCAGCTTTGAGGGTAAGGGACAAAATAGAGATTACATAGGAACTTACATAACCACTTAAAATGTTAAAGTTTAAAAATATAGAAATCCACCCTCAGCTCCCACAGGCATTGGCCACAGTGTGTCCGTCTCCCTTCACAGCACCCAGGTACACGTGTTACCCTGGTGACGCTCTTTCCAAAAGCAGCTCATTTTACTTTTTGTTTGAATTATGTTTTTAAAGATTTCTTTCTTTTTATTTCATGTGTATGGGTACTTTGCCTGCATGTATGTATGTGCACCAAATGTGTGCCTGGTATCACCAGAGGCCAGAAGAGGACAAGGATCCCTGGGACTGGAGTTACAGATGCTTTTGAGTCACCCTGTGGCTGCTGTTAAGCAAACCCGGGTCAGTCCTCAAGAAGAACAGCTATTTGATCACTGAGCCATCTCTCCAGCAACAGCAGAGCTCTTAGAGAGATCCCTGTTTGCCCCAAGGCTGCTGGCTGGCTGCTAGTGGTTGATGGGAACCTCTGCTATTGTGATGAGCAATCCATCCCCATGGCTGCTAAAACACCACTGCTTCCAATGACCAGGCTTACTACACAAGCGTTCCAAGAGCTTTCCAACTTTTCTAGGAAGAAAACAAAACCTGATCTGTGTGAGGAAATGGGGCTGCAGGTGAAGATAAATAAATACCACTCTAGGAGCAAAACAAGTGTGGAGGAGACATCCCAAAGCACCCCTGACCTGAGGCCAGAATTCTAGAGAGTCCAAAGGGAAGTCATGAAAATAAATGAATTATCTATACAACTAAAAGACCAAAGTAAGTAAAAAGTAAGGCGGTCAAGGACATCAACAGAGGGAGAGACCATGAGATGGGAGGTAGTCAGTTCTCTTCCTGCAATGTTCTGTTTTCAGGGGGTAAGGACCATCAGAAGAGCAACCACAGCACTTCCCAAAGCCTGCTGGAGGAGCTCCAGGGTAGAAAGGCAGAGAGCCATCCCCAGGGTCGCGTGTCTCCCCTCTGAGAGCACTGAGACACAAGAAATAAGCCATTCTACCCAAAGCACACACAACAAAGGCACACTAGCCGGTGTCTCTCTAGGACCAGAGTAGGGGTTTTTTGTTTTTGTTTTTTAATGGAATTAAAATAGTCACTGGGAAATGCTTTTTAATTTGTGGTATTCCTATTGTTTTAAATGTTTTACACATTGTGATGAAAAAAGAAAAAGCATTTCAAAGGCTATGTATGAATGAATACATTGAAACACAAAAGACCCATCTGATCTTACAGAAGTACTCGATTATAAAAATACTGATTTAGGTAACATTTTCCACCATCTGACATGAAAAACTTAGAACAAAATATCCTTCTCCATTTCTAAATACGCTCGCACATATCTTACAAGCGTTCACAGGTTAGTGTCCTGTGATATTCCCCAAGAGAAGAGAAAGGGGAGGAAGGAAAGGGAGAAGGACAGAAGGAGGAAGAGAGACACACGTGCATGGTGGCATACGTACATGAGCTGCTTGGACACCCTCGAGCCTGGGGGCACCTTCTGCCCATAGCGACAGTCAGCGTGTCAGCAGGGGACTCCGGAACTCCCAAGGACTCTGGAAACAGTGAGATGGCTAGCTGTTGGAGGAGAGGACACAAAAAAGGTAGAAATAAAACAGTCTTAGGATAATGATCACATTTTTTCATTAAAATGCTAATGATGACCAACTCCTTCCAGATAACCATGTTTATGAATTATTCATTGTCACATGCGGGAAGAAATCGCTCTGTCCCTGCAGGCAGGCATGGAGCCTGCAGAGGGTTAGCATGTGGCCCCTGCAGTGAGTGTGACAAAAGGGTAGGTCCCTAAGAGTCCCTGGTCAGGGACGTAAAGTCCGGCAATCCCACAGCATTGAGATGATTCTGCATCTCCTTAGTCAATGTCAAGGATGGTACCAGCCTGGCTCATCATGACACCTGAACTAACATCCCACTAATAATATTTTAAAAACTCAAAAGGAAAAAAGAAAATGTATTGAATTGGAGAGGCTACATGTCAAAATGATAAAGGATGGAGGGAGGGGTGGGGAGGGGGGAAGGAAGGAAGGAAAGAAGGAAAAGAGAGAGAGAGAGAGAGAGAGAGAGAGAGAGAGAGAGAAATAACACTCTAGACACATCAATTACACTCGGTGCTCCCTTCTAAAGGTAACAAATATGCACATTTTTACACATTTCTGTGGGCATTAATTAACTTACTATCATTAACGTTTCCTTTAAAAAGCACAGGTTACATCCTTACTTGAAGTCAAGCATTCAACAACAAGAAGAATAAAACAGTGACTCCATTTCAGAACAGGCCCTGTAGGGCAGTGGGTAATGCAATGATTTGATAGTCATCCAGCAGAGGCCTCCAGCCCAGACAAGAAGAGATCAGGGAATGCATCCAGGAACAAAGGGTGCCTGATGTGTCTAAGGCTGGGCTGGAGTTAGCCAACCTTGGTGCACGCCAAGACAATGGTAAAGGCAGTGGAGAGAAACTGCGTGGTGTGGCTTTCAGTTCTTGGTCCCACTCTAGAATGACACCCATGTTGTCATCCAGGGCAGAAGACTGAGCCAGCTGGCAACTCTGGACCTCTTTCGGAGACCTCTGAGCAGACCTGGTTGTAGACAGCTAAGCCTGGGTCAGATGTGGGTTTCAGATGGATTATTCTCTCTGGATGGATCCAAAGGGGCGGGGTGGAAGCAGTGTGAGTAGAGAGGCCAGCCTGCTTGTTACAACCATGCAGGCGGGAGAAGCGGTGGGAAGACTGGGATAGCGGAAGTGAGCAGGCAGGAGGGGGGAGGGGACGGGGGGGGGACAGGGGGGACGGGACTGGACTGGGATAGCAAAAGTGAGCAGGGCCAGGATGAGACAAAGCAGCACTTGGAAGCATCTAGACGCTAAAGGGAGAACAAGCTGATCAACTACATGCAGATCAACGGTAGCAGATGTGAAGTGTAGACCACCAGGGAAGGAACAGCAAGACCCAAAGGTCAGTCTGCAGCATTAGAAACTGAGGTGTGGAAGACTCGGAGGCCTGGAGAAGAAGACAACAAAATATAAAGCAGTAAGGAACTCAGAGAGAAAGGCAGAGACAGAGGCAAAGTCAAAGAATCACGGAAGGGTTATGGGCAGAGAGAAGCCTGTACCATTAGCGCCAAGAGACAGGCGCTAGCCACGACAGACCAGGAAGTCAGCCATGATCTTGTAGCGAAAAGTAGGCTACAGGGGTCTCCGGAGAAGTGCCATGGGATCCGGAGGCAAATAAAAGCAAAAACAAAAACTACTTTTGGTTTTGACACTGAAAAGTCGCTGGCCACCTTGGCTGAGGGCTGGGTTAGCGGCATGGAGGAGACAGGGAACAGCATCAACAGAGTAAGCGGGAGAGCGTGGAAAGGGGACGAGTCACTTTGTGAGGGCTGAAGTGCCGGCACATGCCCAGAGCCGTGCACTGAAGGAATCAGGAGACTGTGGAGGGAGGCGCAGAGAACCGGAGGGAGCAAGGGTGAAGAGATCGCCAGAGGCAGGAGAGTGGACAGGAGTTCAGACGAACGGACTGGCCTTGAAAAGACAACCCACACACTGGGGTATTAGAGAAGGCAGACCAAATGACATTTCCATTCTTGAGCATACACGGCAATGCACTGGGGAGCTGACAGGCCATTTGTAAAAACACTTGGGGGTGAAAGCAAGAGGACCTGAGTTCAAGTCCCCAGAGCGCACATAAAAGCTAGGTACGGCCTCATGTGCTAGTAAACGGTGGAGGGGTGCGGTGAGGGGGGGGCAGAGACGGGCAGATCCCAAGAGCTCACTGGTCAACCAGCACAGCCTAGTCAAAACAGTAAGCTCAGGTCTGTCTAGAGCCCCCATGGCAGAGACAGACAGACAGACAGACAGACACAGAGAGACCGAGAATATCCTAGAGGAGGGTTTTCAATGTCCTCCTCCGTCCCCTGCGTTTGTACACACTGACATCTGCACTTGAGCACACACACACACACACACACACACACACACACCATACACAGAAGGAAAGGAAGGGGGAAGTGAGAGTGTAAGAGCTTGGGACAGCTCTGTGGGGAAGGAGTGACAGGTGAGTAGTTGAGGAGACAGGTCTGGTCATTATTGGTCTCTGGTATGCGGCCCCCCCGCCCCCCCATGAAAACCATTTAACCCTGTTTGAAGGTAAACAAACATGCAAGGCCGGTAGCTATCAAAGCAAGGAAGCCCATTTCCCGCTAGAATTAAGGCAGTGCATTGGCGAATGGTGTGGAAGAAAGCCCTTCCTGAAACAACCTCAGGCTTTGGGTGCCCACGTTCCCACGTTTGCTTACAGTTTCAGCAACTAAAGTCATGGCTATGGCTTCACCGTCCGCCAGTCTTTGTGAGCCATGTTCCAGCATCTAAAAGCATAACCCACCTAAGCAGCAACAGGCAGACACTGGCAAATAAAAGCGGGAATGAGCGGGGGAGTGGAGTGGAGTGGACAGCGGCACCCGCCGGAGACATGCTAGCCCACTGCCTCTGAAACTGCCCACACACATTCCACCTCAGGCTTTCCCCGACAGGGTTAGGGATGCATGGAGCAACTCAGCTACTGGAATAAGTCCCGGTAACGGCAAAAGCAGGAATGTTCACCGGGGTGACAGTCTCGAAGAACCATGTGGTCTTCACTGGAGTTACCCACCATAGATCTGGTACTAAAGCCAGCAGAAGCCACTAACTGGGTCATTCATTTTTGTACCCCTGGAGCATGGAAGACAGTCAGCATGCAATAAAAGTGGAATGATTCAATAAACCAGTATATGACTGAATAATTTTCCCAGCTAAGGGGTAAGGAGGCCAATTAAATGGTGAGAACAGAAACAGCCCAGCTGTCCTACCCTGACGGACTCAAAGGAAAACTGTAAATTGCATCCAACTACATTCATTTTACACAAAAGAGAGTCTTTATGGATTCATAAATAAATAGCACAAGGCTGGGCCCTGAAATTATGGGACGATGCTCTTTAAGTGGGAAACAAGCAGATTCTGAGCAAACAAAGGAACAGGAGTTGAAGACTACATCTGTTTGCCTGCTTTGTTGTCTGTCCTTCTGGAGGGCAGGATCATCATTCTAACAGTATGGTGCCTCTCCTCCCAGATGCTCAACCTCACAGCAACCTGCCTGGCTCCAACCCATGGGGACCACAAGATAAACGGTGAGGAGAGCATCAAGCCTCACTACCTCGAAAATTCATCCCAGGGGCAGTCTACACTGCCCTGATACATTTGTGATTCCCTTTCAACACGTAAGCGCCGAGGCCTCACAGACCCTACTGAACACGTCTCACGTAGTGCACAGAAGAAGAACACTGGAATTGATATCTGTCTGGAAATAATCTCAATACTAGAGCTTCCAAAAGTGAGGGGTAGTTTACTAGTATGTGGCAGGTGGGTGGGTTTGTTTTTTGTTTTGTTTTGTTTTCCTAACTTGATCCTTCCGGTCTGATTCTGTCCATGGTCAGTAGGCAATACGCTGAGAACAATACCTCTCCAACACACTTTTTTCCAGGCTTGCACTTGACCACGGAGCGCACTGGCCGTGCAGAAACAACCCTCTGAGACAACCATTCCCCTTTCCACTCTCAAGAAGGCAAGGGAGCAAGATAAACAACACACTACTCACTTGAACACAAGCCAGGGCATGGAAGGAATCTATCTGCCAGTCCAAAGTGTTTAGTGTGCAGCTTTTTAATTACTGTATTTATGACACTATCCATAACATATTCCCCACCACAAATGCTCCAGCAGGTCATTAATCCTTGACAAGTACATTAATGTGCCCCCCTCTCCTGCAAATTCTTATTGTGCTGACGTGGGGCAAAAATGCTAAGAATTCTCTTCAAAGTAAATACTTTATGTCAACAGCCCCAGCTACCACTGGTCCTCGCTTAACTACTTCAGGATAGCATTCCTGTGCAAATATTTGGTTGATACTGACCTTAAAGATGAATTGGCAAACAAAATTTGAATACTGGCTTTGCCCAATGAACATTTTTTGGTCAGAGGAATAATGGCATGAACTACCAAGAAGGCGGTTTGTGTTCTACAAAAATAACATAGCCTGTGACTCATTAAATCACCATACACCATCATCCTGCTGTTACAACATGGTGAGATTTCTGCTTTTAAAAAAAAAAACAAAAAAAAAAAAACCAAGGAGTAAGTCCTTGAGAACGGTCAAGATTTTCACAATAATTGACAGGACTACCTGTCTCAACACTACATGGGTTTAATTTCAACCACAGAGGATTAATGTTTTTCTCTGAGAATTCGAAGTATGATTAATCATTGTTTGGTAGCAGACGGTCATCAATGACACCACTAATTATTTTGCTGTGTTGGAACATGAGCACAGGCGCTCCAAGGAGAAGGACTACGTCTGCGGTGATCCACAGGAGCTGGCTTTCTTCCACCCGGAGAAACACAGGACAAAGTGACAATCAGAAAGACCGCTGAAGCGCCCTCACCAGCTACAAACTATACTATAAAGAAACAGAGTTACAGGCAAGTTCTTGGCGCAGGCTCGGAGCCAAGATCACACGGAGACAGAG